TCCCAGGCCACAAGCAGGGAGCTGGATGGGAAGTGGGGCTGCTGGGATTAGAACCGGCGCCCATATGGGATCCTGGCACATTCAAGGCAAGGACTGGGCAGGTGTTGTGGTCTAGAGGGAGTACGCTGCCAGCTGGGATGCCTATATCCCATGTGAAAGTGCCAGTTCAAGTCCTGGCTATTCCATTTTGGTCCAACTTGAGGCTAATGCACCTGGGAAACAACAGATAACGGGTCAAATAGTTGAATTTCTGCCACCCATGTGGGAGACCTAGGTGGAATTCTAGGCTCCTGGCTTCAAATGTTGCAGTCATCTGGGGAATGGATCAGTGGATGGGATGTGTCTCTCTCTCTCTCGTTCTCACTCTGTCACTCTGTCTTTCAAAAAAAAAATAAATCTTTGTAGTAAGATACTGATTAATAAACAATTAAAAAATGATATGAACACATTAGGGGATCTTAGATACCTGTTCCGGTTGTAAACCCTACTATTAGATAGAAGGATATGAAACCGCTGGGTGGCAAGTGATGCTCAGGTCAAGTGTCAGCAGTTTCACGAGTTCAGTCTACTACATTTAAGCTGATGCACATTTAAGCGATGATGCCGTGAGGACAGGGGTCCTTCTATACACAAAGCAGCCTGAGATGCGGGATGTGCAGACCAGCTTTTGTTAGAAGGCTCTGTCTCTGTCGTTCACACACAGGACGTGTTGTTCTCTAAAAACTGTGCTTCCTGGATCTGCTGACTGACGTCATTCATGTGTTAACAGGAGCGTACTGATAAAAAACCAGTATTATTTCCTTCAATTCTCCCTTAGTGCTGCTTCCAACATAATTCATAGTTCTGTACTGGAGTTTCCTGGACTTCTCTCTCTTAGACTGTGCAACTCTTTGTAGTCAGGACCTCTCCCCTTCCTGGTGTTCCTGGACTATCCAAGACGTGTTTTTTGGTTGTATTGTACAGTGTCATAAAGATTTCTGGGAGGAGTTTATCTCAGGAACGTGGCTTGCTGTTATGTCAGAAACACAGTGTCACATATAGCAGGTTAGAATTCTTTTCTTTACACTGGCTCAGAGCTGCAGTCATACCCAGAGATGACTTTGGGAAATCTCCCATTCAATATTTTAGTTTGGCGTGTTAGTTTCTTATTGGTACTGTAAGAACCATAAATGTAGTGACTTTTTTTTTTTAAAAAAAAGATTTATTTTTATTGGAAAGTTAGATATACAGAGAGGAGAGACAAAGAGGAAGATCTTCTGTCCACTGATTCACTTCCCAAGCAGCTGCAATGGCTAGAGCTGAACCGATCGATCTGAAGCCAGGAGCCGGGAGCTTCTTCCAGGTCTCCCATGCAGGTGCAGGGTCCCAATGGTTTTGGGCCATCCTCAACTGCTTTCCCAGGCCACAATTGAAAACTGGATAGGAAGCGGGGCTGCCAAGACACAAACCAGTGCCCATATGGGATCCGGGCGAGTTCAAGGTGAGGACTTTAGCCTCTAGGCTTTTGCACTCGGCCCAAATGTAGTGACTTTTAAAACTAATTTATCATCTTAACAGTTTTGGAGAGCAAAAGTCTGAAATTGGTTTCCTGGGGTGGGGTGTCTGGAGAACCCCTTCTCTTGCTTCCTGCAGCCCCCGGAGGCCATGTATATCCCTTGACTTGGAAACTTCTGTCCACCTGCAAACCAGCAGTGGAGTATCTTCTCCTGGCCCCCCCCTCCCTTCTCCACTTCTGCTTCTGGTCTTGATCCCCCTGCCTCCTTCTTGGAGGACCCTCATGATTCAACTGGGCTCTCCCAAATGACCCATCCGTTCTTCCTCTGTCAAGATCCTTACAGTGGCAATGCCCCCTTTTGCTGTGTGGCGGTGCAGCCATAGGGTCTGGGGCTTTAGATGTGGGAAGGGCCGTTCTCCAGCCAGCCCACCACATTCTTTGCAACATTAGGCATCTACAGTCCAATGTTTGAAAATCCTAGCCACACTGTCCCTGTGCTTACTCTGCTGGCCTCCTCTTCTGTGCTTTCTTAGTAAACGGCCCCAGCAGCTACTAATGGACCACGTGTGATCATTGATTTTTCTCTCTCGCTCACCTTCGTGCTACATGCTCGGTACAACTCCTGCATATTGCCTGCTGAATGTTTTTGAGACTCTAACCCTGTGTGGCCGCTGCCGCCTCCTTAGGGTAACCATCACCATCTCTTGCCTGACCACAACAGTGACATCCTAATCTCTCTCTCTCTCTCGAAATGTTATTTATTTCCTTATCTGTATTTGGAAGACAGGGAGGCAGAGGAGGAGAACCTTCGAGTTGAGGTTTACTTCTTAAATGCCTGCCGCAGCTGGAGCTCAGGCAGCCCAGCCGGGAGTCTGGGATACAGTCCAGGTCGCCAGCATGGCTCACAGGGATGCTGGTCCTGGAGCCTCCTCCTGCTCCTGCCTCCGAGAGCATCAGTTAACAAGAAGCTGGATCAGAAGTGAACCCAGACACTGCAATACAGGAGAGAAGCACATCTTAACTGTTGGCAAAATGCTGTCCCTCCCTCCTCCCTTTTATTCTTCTCTTGCCTTTTTCTGATCTGTTCTCTAAAATCAACTGGATACGCTTTTTCCCTGCTTCACACTTGCCAGTAGTTTCCTTTGCTAGAGGCATAAGACCCTAACCTCGGGCCCTGCTCATCTCTCATATCCCTCTCCCTCTGTCGCCACACCCCTGACCCAGCTGCTGCCCACATCTGTGGCCTCTGCCTGGTCCTCTCCCCGGCTCTTCCATGTCTAGATCCTCGCCAAGCATTTGGAACCAGCTGGAGTGTCCCCTCCTCAAATACCTGTGGAGTCAGGAGCCTCCCCACCCAGGCTCAGACAGGGGTGTCTGTACCACTCTTTCATGTGTTTTTTTTTCAGACTTTACTGCCATGGGCGATCCCTTAGCTACTGCTTATGATATTTACTATTTCTGTCAGATGAGTTCCATGAAGGTGTGGCCGTTTTTGTTCTATTCATGATCAGAGGTGATGCCTTGCGGCAATTGTGTGTGCACTACTGTGTGGAAACCAAATATACTTTCCTGTTTCTTTTTAAGGATTTATTTACTTATTTACTTGAAAAGTAGAGTTACAGAGAGAGAGAGAGAGATCTTCTATCTTCCTTTTTACTCCCTAAATGCCCATTGGGGCTGGAGCTAGTTCCGTACGAATGCAGGATCCAGGAGCTTCTTTCAGATCTTTCATATAGGTGCAGGGGTCCAAGAACTTGAGCCATCATTTGATGCTCTCTCAGGCACATTGGCAGGGAGCTGGGCCAGCAGCGGAACAACCACTGGCACCCGCACATGATGCCTGTGCCAGTGAGCGGCTTTACTAGCTAAACCTTAGTGCCCGTCCCTAGGAATATTTTCTGTAACTTCCTTATCCTACATGTATCTCACTTTTTTTAAAAATTAAAAAAAATTTTATTTGAAATTCAGATTTATAGAGAGAAAGAGAGACAAAGATCTACCATCCGCTGGTTCACTCCTCAAGTGGCCACAATGGCTGGAGCTGAGTCTATCTAAACCCAGGAGCCAGGAGCTTCTTTAAGGTCTCCCACGCAGGCGCAGGGTCCCAAGGCTTTGAGCTGTCTTCGTCTGCTTTCCCAGGCCACAAGCAGGGAGCTAGATGGGAAGTGGAGCAGCTGGGATATGAACTGATGTCATATGGGACCCCGGCATGTGCAAGGCGAGGACTTTAGCCACTAGGCTACCATACCGGATGCCGGGTCTGCTCTTCTTGTCTTTTTTTCTTTGACTTTCTTCTTTTGGATTGTAATGGGAGGAAAAACTCATAGCCCAGGCTCTACCCAGGGTAGGGTTTAGGGAAGCAGAACTGCCTGTTTCTGCCCTTCCCATCCCCCTTCATTAATACTGGGAGTTCTGGGCAAAAGAAAAAGTTTTCTGCTCACTCTGTCTTCCGTGGGCCTGTGGGGATTCACTGGGGACCATGGGAACAGGCCAGTGTCTGAAGGGACAATCAGCATGCCTTCATGCTCTGGGGGCGACATTGTTCAACACCAGCATTTTCAGAGTTTATCTCAACTCACTGGCATTGAGGTGCCTCCTTAGAGAATCACATGATCTAACTACTTTGTTCCCTCTGACTCTAACAAGGCTGAAGACAAGAATAATTGGGGTCCTGGCTTCTAGGGAGGCCTAGGACGAGAGCCCTTCTGCTTGTGGGAGGCCAGTAGGGACTGAATGTGTGTGTATAGGCTAGGGACAACCTGGAGGAGAAACCCTGGGAGAAAGGCTCGTTGCCCCGTTTCCTTCTTCCTGAGTTCTGATCCTTTCTTGGGGGTGCCCATACTGTCTTCCTTTCCTGTCTGGTTCAACGGTCAAGTAACCCTTGGCCCCAAGTCTTTGGCCTTCTGTGGACATCCTTCTACTCTCCAGGGCTCCATCATCTGCCTGTGGTGCTGGAGAGTGGCTGGGGGACATAGGCGCTCCATTGCCCGGCTTGGTCTCCAAGTTGGCTGATCCTGCCCAGCAGCCCCTTCCCTTCAGGTGCCACATGCCTTGATTTGTACACAAACATGATTTGCCTGATTGTTGCAGTCTGGGCCTGGAATAATTTTAATTAACGGGAAAATGGTCCTCAATACACCGATTAGACCTCTTCAGGTACAACAAGATAAAAGCCTGATAATTTGGATGGAGTACTCTTCTTAACGTCTACTCTAGACACATCAGCCAATGGGGAAGCCAGGCTCTCTTCCACCTGATCCAATGAGTAATTAGGAGAGGTCTTTTTCTTCCCCACCTCTCCCCTCCCTCCACCCCGCTCCCCAACGCAAGCTTAACAGGTTGGTGGGATAATTTGGAGACTTTCAAAGGTGTCACACTAGGGGCTTAGGCTAGAGCGGAGGTGTTTTCTCCCAGCTCCCTGGGCGCTGTCCAGCCGGGTTTGAAAAGCAGGCAAGAGAGGAACAGAAGAAAGAAGTGAGAAGCAGGCAAGGACGGCGAGGGCTCTCTGCAAAGTTGGAGAGGGGCCTGAGGCCATGAGCGAGCTGATCTCCAAGCAGAGCAGCGAGGGCATGGTGTCCCGCCTGCTCCATGTGGTGGAGAGTGAGCTGCAGGCCGGGAGGGAGAAAGGCGACCCTACAGAGAAGCAGCTGCAGATCGTCCTGGAGGATGCCCCGCTCTGGCAAAGATTCAAGGAAGTCACTAACGAGATGATTGTGACCAAGAACGGCCGGTGAGTCTGGCTCCAGCCCAGTAGCGGCTGGCAGGGCTTAGTTAGGGAGGTGGCAGCCCTTGGCAGAGATGGTGTGGTCTGATTAAATACGTTTGCCGACAGGGTCAAATCCCTCGTTCCTCCCCAGCTAACTTGATGAAGTTCTCTGAGCGCATCACAGAGATGCAGGGTGAAGCCACCTGTTTACCTCGCATTGTAAGTGGAGAAATTTGGAGAAGTTATCCCCAAAGGGCAGGGGGCATGGCCATGGGCTGGGGAAATGCACTCTTTGGACTGACTGTACGCCCTGAGCAGACCCTGAGTTCCAATTCCGTCCAGATGAAACAAAAGCCAACTTTATTTGGAAGTGGGGGGCAGTTTTAAGTCTAGTAATCACGCCAGTCAGTTTTGACTGCAGGGTGCTTGGGAGCCCAAGGGCACGTGGAGTCCCGTTGTCTGTCACTCCAGGTGTCTCTGGTTGTATGTCAGCTGCGAGTGTTCATTTGAGGTGCTGTGGTGTATGTGATGAGCAGTTGTGGCAGGAAAAGTGAATGGCCCATCCTTTTGTGTCTTCGACCGGAGAAGGGACCATCTTCTTTCTCACTGCAGCTGGCTAGGATGAACAGCCACTGGTCTCTGCTGTGTTTCTTGGATTCTTATTAACTCCAGTCTGCTAAGGGGACATCAAAGTCCTAGTCGAAAGTTTCAATTGGATGTTGGCGCCAAACATTCAGTTGCTGTTCTCAGATCTTTAGGTGAACATGAACACTGAAAGGCATCAACTATGTGGGCTTAGTTTTGTTTAATTGGGACACGCTCACGAGAGCTGCTGCTAATAGGAGAAAGTGCAGACCTCAGGCTTTTGTCCTCGTGCAAATTACTTCCAATTCTGATCCCTTGGTTTTCTGCTTTTGATCAAGGTGCGGTACTCCTGGACCATCTGGGTGAAATATGAACTTGTGAGCTCTTGCATCGTGTTGAAATGCTTCCCAAGTGAGAGTTGAACCAGAGTTAAGCTCATTTCAACACATTGTGATTATGCTAGTGGCAGAAATAGCAGCCTTGCTTAGCAATTTGTATTTTCTTTCTCTCAATAGGTTCCATAGTTATTTCATATAGATTTATTGCTTTTAATATTTGTAATTACATTTACACTAACTTCTTTAGCTATGTCTCTATATTTTTTCAGCCTCTGTTAGAAATGTAAAACATGTTTTTAATTTTTTAAAGATTTATTTTTATTGGAAAGGCAGAGAGGAGGAGAGATGGAGAGGAAGCTCTTCTGTCCGAAATTCACTCCCCAAGTGAGCGCAACGGCTGGAGCTGAGCCAATCCGAAGCCAGGAGTATCTTCAAGGTCTCCCATACGAGTGCAGGGTGCCAAAGTTTTGGATTGTCTTCCACTGCTTTCCCAGGCCACAAGCAGGGAGCTGGATGGGAAGTGGAGCAGCTGGGATTAGAACCAGCACCCATATGGAATCCTGGAATGCTCAAGGAGAGGACGTTAGCCACTATGCTATCATGCCGGGCCCCAACATGTTTTTAATTTTGAAGAGTCACTCCAAAGTTTCAATTGGATTCAGCCTTTTTCTTTTCCAAGAGGAGTGTTGATGCAATTAGAAAAGTGTCATTGTGCTTGGGACATTGAACTTTCTTTGACATTGTTGGTGAATGTGGCTATGTTGATAACATTCATGCTGGTCTCTCAAAACGGTCATGTATTAAAGCAAAAGTAGGTGTAGCAATTAAGTAAAAATACAGCTCCCCTAGTTAAACAAGGAATGAACAAGAAGAGGTCCTGAAACTATCTTAAAATCTAGTTTAGGGCCCGGCGCGGTGGCGCAAGTGGTTAAGGTCCTCACCTAGCACGCCCGGGATCCCCTATGGGCGCCAGTTCTAATCCCGGCAGCCCCGCTTCCCTTCCAGCTCCCTGCCTGCAGCCTGGGAAAGCAGTCGAGGACGGCCCAAAGCTTTGGGACCCTGCACCCGTGTGGGAGACCCGGAAGAGGCTCCTGGCTTCGGATCGGCATAGTATCGGCCCGTTGCGCTCACTTGGGGAGTGAATCATCGAACGGAAGATCTTCCTCTCTGTCTCTCCTCTCTGTATATCCGCCTTTCCAATGAAAAAATAATAAAAATAAATCCTTAAAAAAAATCTAGTTTAATGACGCTTTGTTGGAATATACTTTCACCATTTAAGAAATTTCTCTTGCCCTTTTGCGCCTATATTAATGTTTCTCCTGATTTAAAATGTAAACTTTTTTTGTGTCTAAGGTTACTTAACAGTAACTCTGAAAAATAAGCCATGTGGCAGACGTCTAATCGCGGTCAGATCATTTCTCCCTGATATTTGTAGCTGTCCTGTTGCTGTCCCTCCCTCGTTATGGATGGATTTTTCACTGTGGGTCTCTTAAGGTCTTTGAACCTTGTAGGATCAGTCAAGATTTTAGCAGGAGATAGAAGTTCCCTTTGCCCTTGTGATAAAAGGAAGAAGATAAATCTTGAAGAAGTAGATCTGGTGAGTAATGAATGAGCTTGGTCTGGAATGACTCTCACTCTGTTCAGTTTCTCAATGAAATCGCTAGCACATGTTACCGTTCTTCATGAAGTCAGACTTTACATTTCCGTTTTGGGCTCTTTCCTCCTGTCCTCTCGTCGCTGCTGTCTGCTTCTCTGTGTTGGCTTTCCCTGTTCTCTCATCTAGCCTTAGTGGTCTTCATATCCCTGCTCTCCATCTGAGGCCTGAGGCTGGCCCAGAGCTCTGTGGCTCCTCCCTGCTGGAGCTGCTCCTAGCCCATTGTCCCTGCCTGAGCCCCTGACGGTCCCCTGCCTGGCCACGGAGGTAGTCTACTTTTTAGATTTTTAGAGGAAGCTTCATGTGGGGGCAACTGAAGTTCTGGCAAACTGATGGAGGAACTGGGAAAGGGAGGCCTACTTCCATACCTGCACAACACAAACTTGCAGGGAAATGATATCTTCCCTGAAAAATATTGAATTATCCCTTGATAGCAGGTATCTAGAATCAAACCACTACTTTCCCTCCCTCTCCTCTTTTCCTCCCTCTCCCCCTGTTTCCCTCCCTCCTTCCCTCCCTCCCTCCCCCTTCCCTCCCTTCTTCTCTCTGTCCCTCCATTCCTCCTTCCGTCTTTTCCTCCTGTCCTCTTCCCTTCCTCTCTTCCTCCTTCCCTCCCTCCTTCCCTCCCTCCCTCCCTCCTTCCCTCTCTCCCTCCCTCCTTCGTTTTTCCCTTCCCTCATCCTATTTTCCTGCTTTCCTTGCCTCCTCCCCCACTTTACTACTTCCTCCTTCACATATTTTCATGTTTAGTTATTAGTGGCCACTGGTGTCTCAGATACAGCAGTTGCAAGACCTTGGTAGAGTTTATTGCAGTCACCTCGAGTGGATCTCACCTGTATTTCCTTTCCTCTCCATCTTTTAAGCTGGGAATTAGACTTCAGAGTGCAGAAGAAATTCATTTCTGACTTCATAGGCAAATGAATTAAATTTCTTGCACCTGCAACTCTTATTCTCACACTCAACTCTGAAAACTCAGGTGAGAAGTTGATGCGTATTATGATGTTGTGGGGAGAAGGCAGAAGCTGTGCATGAGTGACATCTCTGAATTTTGCTTTGAGTCGTTTCTGCTGCTGTGCCATCTACAAGATCTGCTTGTCCTCTGTCGCCTTGCTTTCTGTCCCCCAGCCTTTCCCCACAGAGCTGAATTGCCTGACTGCCAGGGCTCCTCCAAGTTTGGGTTTTTGGGCAGTGGTGTTCACCCCGTACCCCTGTGCCTACTGCCAGTCAGCTTTTTTTCCGGCGAGGGTTACGTGGAGTTACGCTTTAAGAACTGACTTATGCCATGTCTTAACTCCTCAAGGACTCTTGGATTTCTGTGTGAGTAGTCTCATCTTGGGAAAAATCAACTTGATGAGAAGTGCAACTCATTCTTGGTAGTGAAGCCTGGCCAGTGAAGTGTCTTGGAAATTGTACCCTGGCCACTGTGAAGTGAGGCAGCAGAAACGGTGCAAGTGAGCTGGGAGGAAATGACGCTGCCTTAAAGACAGTGTGAGTTCTGGTCTCAGTTACTCTTATTTATTTCTCATTGGCATCATGGAGAGTAAAAACACACACACACACACACAATGTCTCTTGGTTCAGTTATCTGGTGATTAAAAAGCAAAAATGAATTTCTTGGCAAAGGAAATGCTGAAGACAATATAGCAATGAACATTTCTACTATTTTCCAAAACCTATTCCTGCTAAAATAACACTATAACTTCTTTGTTTTCATTGAAAGTCTTATTGTGGTGCAGTTCACCCATCATATCACTTGTCTGTTTAAGGTTCAGCATTCCATAACGTTTGTATGCTCACAGAACACTGCTTTCGTCTCCACGCTTAATGAAAGGATATGTTCATTACTCCAGAAAGAAACCATGCATGCTGAAGCGTTATTTCCTGGTCCTGGCAACTACTAATCTACTTTCTGACACTACAGATTTATCTGTTCTGGGTTTTCACATCATTAGATTCACATGCTCTGTGTTCCTATATAAATGGCTTTAAAAAAAACTAAGTATAATGTTTTCATGATTCATCCATGTTATAGCGTATGTCAGTACTTTATCTTCCTGGTTGTTGAGTAGTAATAATACTCCATCGTTTATTCTGCAGCTGATGGACATTTGTGTTTTTCTGCCTTTTGATGATTGTGAGTATTGCTACTATGAACATTTGTGTGTTTATTTTTAGGTGGAACTGTGCTTTAACTTTTCCTGCATGACCTCGAAGTGGAGTTGCTGGGTTGTTTGACTAGGCAAGGACTGCCACACTGTTTCGCCAAGTGACTGTACCATTGTACATTCCCCGCACGTGTTGTACGAGGGTTCCAGCTTTTTCTGTGCCCTTGCCAATGCTGGTGGTGGTTCAGCTTCCTGTTGCAGTCACCCTTCACTGCAACAGGATCTGTATTTATCTGTTTGTGTTTATATTGAGCTAACGCTGGGAAGCATCTTTTCATGTGA